GTTTACAATAAAACATTTCATAAAAAATCTGCTAAATCGGTCCAGCCGTTACCGAAACGAACAGCTTTTGATTTTTATTACAAGAAAAAATAAGACAGATATGTAAACTAAATATATGATAATATATAAGATAAAAGATACTTACAGAAGGAGATTGACTAGTATCTTCAAATTTTAACTGCTCTGATGTGCCTGATAATATCTAATAAAAGAAATAAGTCAGATTCACCTTATTTGGCCAAATGTAATTAGGGTATTTCAAATTGATATTTAAAAAACACCATGAAAGTACGTAGGCAGGATGATAAATAGCTAGCCCAACCCATATTTTGTATAATAACGATATAAAATCTCCTGAGTATTTTACTCATTAGTTCATTAGCTGCCAGTGTTCCAAATTTCAAATCGATCGTATAGTTTTTCTTTAAAATATTGACATTTCAAAAAGCATTTTTTGTGTTTTCTGCAAAATGGATAAAATTGAGCTACGAGCTTGATATAAAATCTCCTGAGTATTTTACTCATTAGTTCATTAGCTGCCAGTGTTCCAAATTTCAAATCGATCGTATAGTTTTTCTTTAAAATATTGACATTTCAAAAAGCATTTTTTGTTTTTTCTGCAAAATGGATAAAATTGAGCTACGAGCTTAACTACATATATGATAATATATAAGATAAAAGATACTTACAGAAGGAGATTGACTAGTATCTTCAAATTTTAACTGCTCTGATGTGCCTGATAATATCTAATAAAAGAAATAAGTCAGATTCACCTTATTTGGCCAAATGTAATTAGGGTATTTCAAATTGATATTTAAAAAACACCATGAAAGTACGTAGGCAGGATGATAAATAGCTAGCCCAACCCATATTTTGTATAATAATGATATAAAATCTCCTTAGTATTTTACTCATTAGTTCATTAGCTGCCAGTGTACCAAATTTCAAATTGATCGTATAGTTTTTCTTTAAAATATTGACATTTCAAAAAGCATTTTTTTGTTTTTTCTGCAAAATGGATAAAATTGAGCTACGAGCTATTTTAAAGTTTTTGCATTTAAAAAGATTAAAAGGTGTGGAGATTTTTTCGGATATGAAGGATGTTTTGGGAGTAAATGCTCCTACATATGCGACCATAAAAAATTGTGTGGCTGAATTTAAACGTGGTCTTACCAGCACCCAAGATGAACATCGTCCAGGACGTCCAAAAAGTGCCACTACTCCAGAAATTGTGATCAAAATTCATGATGCAGTTTTAGCTGACCGAAGATTGATACTTTCCGAGATAGCTGATACTGTAGGCATCTCTAAAGAACGGGCGCATTACATTTTGACTCAAGAATTATGTATGAAAAAAACTATCCGCAAGGTGGGTGCCGCGATTACTTACAGTTGACCAAAAACGCGTTCGTATGCAAATTTCACAAGAATGTTTGGACCGCTTAAGAGCAATACAACTGATTTTCTGCGACGGTTTGTTACTACAGACGAGACTTGGGTTCACCACTATATACCTGAATCAAAAATTCAGTCTAAACAATGGACGGAAAAACATCGACGGCTCCAAAGAAAGAAAAAGCCGTGAAATCAGCGGGGAAAGTCATGGCGTCAGTTGTTTGGGATTCGAAGGTTATATTGATGATTGATTACCATCCAAAAGGGTAAAACATAAATGGCGAATATTATGCTGATCTACTGGATAAATTACAAATGTGTATTCGTGAAAAAAGACCCGGCCTGACTAAAAAAAAAATCTTTCATCAGGATAATGCGTGCCTTCACACGTGCATCACTGCGATGGCGAAATACAAATAATTAAATTATGATTTGCTACCACACCCAGCTTATTCTCCTGATTTGGCTATCATCTATTCCCTGAGTTCACAAATTTTTAGATGGACAAAGATTTGAAAATAATAGCGAGGTGATGCCTGTCGTGGACGGTTATTTTGAAGGGCTTGAAGAAAACCACTTAAGGGATGGCATCAAGGCTTTAGAGCATAGATGGATGAAGTGCATAGCGCTTCGAGGAGACTATGTCGAAAAATAAATATACTTTTAATACACTAATTCAAGTTATTTTATGCTAGGCTAGCTATTTATCATCACGCCCTCGTAGTCTTTATGTGTTGGTTTTGGCTGCTTTAACAAAAGAATAAGAATATTGTTTAATATTCTATAATCCTTAAGAGTAGGTAATTATTATTGGAGGCCATACGTTAGAGAGACTATATAAATAATTTTAAAGTTAAGTTTTAAAACTTTCACTATGTTAATTAAAATTTTAATATATAGAAAGAGTGTAACCTTTGGATATGAGTTTTGCTTTATTCGACGTAACCCTTTGATAGTATAATACATATCATCGCTCTTAAAATGAATCGAACAAACTACACTGCGCGTAGTTGGATTCCATGAAGGTTCATTCCGACTATTGCGAATGACTGAAATCCACTTCTCTTTCACATTTTGATGTCGGTTTGGAAATCTAAAAATTAATGCAAACCTGTTTAGTAAAAATAAAGAAGTAAAAAATAAAACCCGTTTTTACTTCCTTATTCTAACACTTCAATACATAATCATATACCCACAGTCTCAGACCAAATAAAAAGTAAAGACGAGGTTCACTGAATAACAAAGTGAAGTCGATTTTTAGCAATTGTAATGTGCGTGCCAGTGTGACCATAGTCATTGAAAACACCCCAATAACTTAACGTTACGACGTTATAGAGTTAACGTTAACGCTATGCTATTTAATAATATAATATTATTCAATATCAGCATAGATATTCTAAAATCTTTAAGAGTGGGTAATTATTATTGGAGGCCATACATTAGAGAGACTATATAATTAATTTTTAAATTAAGTTTGAAAACTTCCACTATGTTAACTATAACTATAATATATAGAAAGTTTGAAACCTTTGGATATGAGTTTTGCTTTATTCGACGTAACCCTTTTATAGTATAATACATATCATCGCTCTAAAAATGAGTCGAACAAACTACGCTGCGCGAAGTTGGATTCCATGAAGGTTCATTTCGACTATTACAAATGAGTGAAATCCACGTCTCTTTCACATTTTGATGTCGGTTTCGAAATCTAAAAATTAATGCAAACCCGTTTAGTAAAAATAAAGAAGTAAAAAATTAAACCCGTTTTTTATTTTTTACTTCCTTATTCTAACACTTCAGTATCTGTGATCTGGATCTCTATGTAGCATTTTGAATGCAAAATTTATTAAATATCATTTCCATACAACAAGAAACAAATACATTACGTAATTTGTGTTTTGTTAGAAATAACGCGTTATAAAATTAAAGTTACCTGATTTTGGGGTAAATAATAACATTTAACGATGGTAATATCTGGCTGAGGTTTTGTGTTCCAAGCAATAACTTAAATTTTATTCTTAAATTACTGAAAATGTAAATTTTCTCCAATAGTTACGTGTGAAATGTGATTCCATCCTGCTTTTTATTTTTCGAGGATTGGTTTTTACACCCCTCACTATAAAAGTCGGCATTTAGTAAGAAATTTTTGATTTTTTTATAACGAAACGTTCCGCACACTGTCGATAGTTAGACAGATAAGGAAGGCGTAATTTCGTTATGTGTGTGTGCGTGAAACTATTTACGAATACGCTGAGGCGTAGTTTTATCGGCTTCACTTTTCTGTTAGGCGAAACTCCGTCTATACTTTTTATTTGGTCTGAGTCCTCAGTGATCTGGATCTCTATTCAGCATTTTGAATGCAAAAATTATTAAATATAATTTCCATACAACAAGAAACAAATACGTAACTTAATTTGTTTTATTAAAATTGACGCGTTATAAAACTAAAGTTACCTGATTTCGGGGTAAAAAATAACGTTTAACGATGGTAATATTTGGTCGAAGTTTTGTGTTCCAAGCAATTGCAATTTGCAAGTAATAACTCAAATGAATATGTAAGCTTTCTCCGATACTTACGTGTGAAATGTGATTCCATCCTGCTTTTTATTTTTTGAGGATTGGTTTTTACAACCTTTCACTACACAATTCGGCATTTAGTAAGATATTTTTGATTTTTTTATAACGAAACGTTCCGAACACTGTCGATAGTAAGACTGATAGAAAGGCGTAGTATCGTTGTGTGTGTGCGTGAAACTGTGTACGAATACGCTGAGGCGTAGTTTTGTCAATGGCTTCCCTTTTCTGTTAGGCAAAACGCCGTCTATACTTTTTATTCGGTCCGAGTCTCCGAGTATAAATATTAAATTTAGCGAATTTACTTTTATATCCCAAACTGATAAATAAGGGACTAAATTAAGACCATTTTTGAAATTACTTCTAAATCGAGTCCTAGCTGTGTGATAAAGATTCTCGTTTATCTCCGAAAATATGTAATTTACTTAATTATCCTTATTTCATAACACATTGATAGATAATGTTCCTAGAGTTCATTTCCAAGTTCCAGAGATGCCGCTGCCAGCCTGACGGACACAAAGAATTTTTAAAATCGGTTCAGCATTTTCGGAGCCTATTCAATGCAAACAAACAATTGTTAGTATTTTTTACCTCTTTAATTACAAAATATATGAAATAATAGGAATATATGTAGCTTTATTCACATTATTTAATAAAAAATATTTAAACTGATTTTTTGTGGCCCTTTACTTTAAAAGCAGCAATATTCAGCCTCTTTTAATTTTAAGTCGATTTTGCAATCGTGATTTATTAGATATATTTGCCTAATAATAATTGATACACATCATAAAGTTTGAAATGGATGGCTATAAAAATACATAAGTGGTGAATTTAGTTAAAACTTATATAAACAAACATCAGTTTCTCAAACGTTTCTAGCCTAGTCAATGATTTTGTCATAATAATGAATAAAGTTGCTAAGTTCCGCCGTGTCAGACTAAACACGCTTATGCTCCGATAGCTGATTGTAGGGATATCTTCCATCCTCTTTCAATCCAAATCGATCACATTTAACAGAAACGTCATTTGTTGCCACACTAGATTTATTATAGTAAATCTATGGTTTCTGCAGTAATCAAGCGGTAACAATTTCTCTCCTGAATTTGTTCTTCATTGTATTTCATCTTGTCTGTACTTGATCTTTGCTATCAGCCCCACCCTGATTATCTTCAGGTATGCCTTCGTTTTCTTTATCATTTAATGACAAAGGATCTTCTTCAACTAAATCAGGTTCTTGAACAGCCTGCACTTCTTCAACAAATTGAAATGGCAGAATACGAGTGTAAGTTAGGGTCGGGAGGATAGGACTACCTATGTCATCATTTTCTAAATGTGGTGATGACGTCAGTGGAGGTGTCGACCATGGAAAACGTGGTATTGCACCTGGTAAAAGTTTCTTCTTGCCGCTGCCTGCAATTAAGTAGAAAATTTATTATTAAAATGGCTTGATCAATTGAAGTTGAGCTATAGCTATCATCTATATAGTAAATATCCAATTTTGGATGTTATTATTATAAAATAATTGATATATATAACCCTGATTTGTAGTCATTAACGAGTTATAACCCTTCCTATTTGATAACTCTGCAAAACCAGTAATTAGTAGTGACTTTAATAGGTTTTTGATAATGTAGATAATTTAAGTACATTCAAGATCAATTTTCAATTTTAAAGATAGATAAACTACTACTTTTGCTTGAGAATAAATTAGGATTAGTCATAGTCTTACTTAATATACTGTTAATGTTATTAATATTCAATACTTACATGTTATTTTAAAGTCACTAATAACAAAGTGATCACCACAGATTTTACTGTATGGTCGTAAAACTCGTTTAGAGAACCTATGGAGATTACTCTCTTTGATCCATTTGGATCTCAGCGTTTCATCAGTAGGAAATCTATAAAGACCCTGGTTAGAGCAGCATGGTATAATACATGACCCTTTCCATGGCATGACTTATTTAAAATGTAGTTTATCTTCGGTATGGCTCATATAAAAAGTAATTGTATTTTAAGAATTTTATTTAGTTTTTAAAACTCAATAAAAGACTATTTCGCATTTAAAAGACTCAGTAAGAAAAGCATCTGCTCTTTCTATTTAAATACTTTTCATAAATCTCTGATGTCCATCATCAGCAATCTCAATAATGACAGTAAGCAGAGTTTGTGGTCAATGTCAAGGATTGACAGCAATGTTCTTCGTCTGTCCTTCTCAATAGCTCATTTGCACTTTTCACCCAATATTGCCAATTTCACATAGATGGCAATTACAAAATTGTATAACAAGATTGAAAAAAGGGATTTTCTGAGTTGATATAAAGAACCTGAAACAAAACAACATGCTTAACCCATGTTTTGACACAACACATCAGATCAGCTACACTTAAATTATATATCCTATTTCCTATTAATACTATAAATGTGCAAGTTTCTTTGTTTGGATATTTGTCTGTCAATCACGCCGAAACTATTGAACGGATTTTGATGAAATTCGGTATACAGATAGTGTATTAGCTGACTTAGATAATAGGATACTTTTTATCCCACTAAACATTTCCCTAGGGTCTACGCGGACGAAAGCTAGTGTATATATAGCTGTCTAGATGTTATGTTTATAAAGAACTATCACTTCATAAGTATTGTTTTTGGAGGTTCCAGAGATTCGAGAAGAGTGTCTTCTATTGATTCGGTACTTTGTTATGGCTTTGCCATTGCAAAGGACGGGAGAAAATATTATACCAAAAAGCCCACACTACGTTTTATAAACAAACACTAATATAATCATTCCGTACAGAAAAGCGTTACAAATGCACTTTGGATTCAATTCAATAAATCTTTTGAGTAAGTGATATAATTGTTACTAGCGAGGTCAGTTCATTATTTTTCACCAAACAAACTCGTACGTAAACATTTCACTAAACTTCACTAAGAGACCTTTTTTTTATTCTTTTCACCCTTTTTTTAGGGTAGGCAAAGGACTTTCCTCCATACAGCCACATCATATTTTAACAGTCTTTTGATTTTCTTTTGGGTGCAGGCTAACGCCAAGTCTTAAGTTAAATATCTTTGAGGGTTGAGAATACGTATGTTTATAATGCTGAATATATGTCAGTATTCTTTAGAAGGTCTTGTGTAGAGCGCGGGATATATTCCGGATTCTTATACACTTGCAAAAGTTGATCTGCGTTGTATGTTGAACGACGGACAATCAGAGATAATGGGGAGTCAATGATATGCATACGATGGAGATAAGCATTAAACCGTGCATGACCCAATTTAAGTCTTGAAACAGTAGTGAAAAATGTTCTGCTTCTTGCTGTGTAATTTACGAACCAGGGCTTTTTACCAATTGTACTATTGATTTCAGCGTACCGTATACCTTTTCTTGATAAAGTAATATGCCAGTCTATATTCCATTGCTGCAGTAAGTTATTTTTTAGAACAGGATATATATCAGTAAATGGGATGGCAGCATTGGTATCAGGGCTGCCGCTGTCACTGATATGATAACGGTCGTTCTCGCTAAATAATCTACGTTTTCGTTTCCTTGAACATTGATGTGAGATGGTGTCCAGATAAAACTCATTTCAAAACCTTGTTGAGTTAGCTTCAACAATAAGTGTTTTATTTCATATATTAAATAGTTTGTATCGGCAGATAATTTGTTATTTCCCAAGGTTTCTAAAACACTCATGCTATCTTATACTATAAGCCAACGCAAATGCTGTTCTTTAAAAAAAAAATTAGTGCAATGTAAATTGGATAACACTGCTGAAAGGAAGGCTTCATCACCACTTACCGTCAGGTGGGATCGTAGTCAAGCGTTAACCTATAAAGTATTTAAAAAAAAACACTCATTTCTGAAGGAAGCTAGTTCCTCTACCAGATTAGATTTAAGGTATGTAAATTGCTCAAACTATACTTGTGTCGTTCTTGGAACCATCAGTATATATAGATTAGAAATGTAACGGATAGTGGTTTGGCCCGATACCGGATGTTCGGAGAGCTCCGAGGCCGGGGCGCCTGATATCCGTCTACCGGATATTTTTTCTTTTTTAAAATATGCTAGAAATACCTTGAATATTTAGCAGTACGTTTTGAAGAGTAGAAAAAAACGTTATTATTAATTAGAATCGGACAGTATAATTATTTCGCAATTTTTATACATATTTATTTTATACTTTTGAAACATTGTATCGATGGGAACAAAAACAATACAATTTCATCTATGACGCTGTATGGCCTGTTGCAATAAAAAGTTGCTTTAATCGATCTCGTAAGGAGTTCGTTCCGTTATTTTGTTTTTATGTCATTTAGTTTGCTAAAAAATCTTTCGCATTCAACATTCGAAAGTGGTAGAGATAAAATTGCCAACATAAACTCGAGCTAATACTTAAAATAGGAATTCCCTGAAGTTGGTCTGGTAAATGAAGCAAATCGGAGTCGTCTCTTAAAAGCAGAAAGTTTGGTATTCATTCACCACAATTTGCGTCGTCGCTGAAATCGTATTGCTTTCGAGTTTTGGTCTTGGAGCCGAACTGACTTGGTGGCGTTTTCATACAGTGACTGCAATACTTGGATGTATCGATAGTCTATTTGCCACCTCTGGAGTGACCTAAGCACGGCCCGGGTCTCGACGGAGTCAAAGGTTTTCTCATAGTCCACAAACGCCAAGCACAGTGGCTGGTTATATTCCTCGGTCTTCTGTATAACCTGTCGTAGCGTATGGATGTGGTAATGTTTTCTGTAATCTTTTCGGAAACCGGCTTGATCGGGAGGCTGGAAGTCGACTAATCTACGTGCGAGACGATTCGCGATGACTCTCGAAAACAGCTTGTACACATGACTCAGAAGCGTGATGGGTCTGTAATTCTTCAATTGAGCCCTGTCGCCCTTTTTGAAGAAAAGCACCACCACGCCCCTGTGCCAGGCTTCTGGCGTCTTGCCCTTGAGTATGACGGAGTTAAATAGCTTCAGAAGCGCTTTCCGAACTGGTAGTCCACCCGCTTTCAGAAGCTCCGCCGTGACTCCATCATCCCCCGGCGCCTATTCGTACACATCCGAGCAGCTCTCCAGACAATCGAAGCGATTTTGAAGCTTGAGCTGAAAGTGCTCGGGGTCCTGGATCTGGGTGGCTTCAGGACGGAGCGTAGAATAAACCAGTCGATACCGTTCGGCTTTTACGTTTAGATTCAATGCGCCTCTTACCATACGGTGATCGCTTACCGTATTAATCGAATTGATCACTGAAACGTCATTGAATAGCCGAGTCTTAGTCGACACGATGAAGTCAATCTTGTTTTTTGTCACCCCATCCGGACTATTCCAGGTCTACTTTCGATGCAGCCGTTTTTTGAAGAAGGAGTTCATCATATAGAGTCCCCTCCTCTCCATGTAATCGGCTAGCATTTAACCACGGTGATTCCAGATCCCAAATCCGAATTGCCCCACTTTCAACTCCTCGTCGCCACGTTTGCCTAGCCTTACGTTAAAGTCTCCCATGACAACAACGTAGTGGGTCGTGGAACCATGTATTGCCCGAGAAATATATATATCATAAGAAATATATATATCATAAGAAATATAATGTATGATATAAGAAATATATCATACATGGCTTCCACTTCCTCGTCGGGGTGCGTCGAGGTCGGGGCGTAAACCTGTATGACCTTCAGCGAATACCGTTCGGTGATTCAGAGTAAAAGGTACGCCACCCTATTCGATACACTTTCGATCTGTACAATATTGTTCACGAGAGACTTGTGGACGATAAACCCAACACCACCTTGGGACAGATCTTCGCCCTCCCGGAAATAGAGCAGGTTGCCGGATTAAAGGATCATCGTGTCCTCGCCCTCTCTTCGGACTTCAGATAATCCCACAATACTCAAACGAATCCTGCCCAATTCCTTCTCGAGCTTCATCAGCTTCTCCTCGGTCCGCAGTGTGCGTGCATTGTAGGTTGCCAGGGCCAAGGTCGCTCTACGGGGGATCTTTGCCGCCCGGGGATTCTGCGCCGATTTCACTACCCAATTTATCGGGCACGATTTATCGGCGTCGATTTAGGGCGGTTGGCGTCGTTGTGATTATACTGCACTAGATTGCCTCCCTAATTCAGTTGGCATGCAAACGTGGTGTTGGAATGATGGCTCCTGCGCTCACAGAGTACCAAAAATTCGCATAGCCCTTACTTTAACTGCGGGCGTAGGGTAAACCGTATAGCTATTGCCCACTTAAGGACTTCAAACACTTTGGCTTCAAACAATAAAAAAAAGTATTATTCCTTTAACCATTTATTATTTTTTTCTTATATCTAAATAAAATCTCCATCAAAGTGTTAACGGTTTTTAGTCAAAACTTACATGGCTTAGAAAATAATTAAACAAATTTAAAATTATCTTAAAATGTACAGTTATTGCCCATTGCTTACACTAATTGCCCACATCACAGCACAGTAATTGCCCAGTACCTTAAAATGATAAATTAGACTTTGAACTTTACTAAAACAATCAAAACAAAACGTCAAACTTAAATTGCGTTTGGCTTTATTAACCATATCAAACATTTCTTTCGCTGATGTTGATGAGCCAGAATCGTCACAATTAGAATCACCTACTTCAAAACAACGATGACACAAAAATAAATGTAAATCGGAGTAGTCTGGTATATGTTCCTTATGATTTGGTGGGATGCAACGCACATGAAAGATTTTTGAACAGGCACTGCATGTCAATTCATTTTTTATCACGTTGAAATAACAAACTCCACAAGTAGGCTTTGGCAGAATGTTACTACAAGAAGGTTGTATTAAAAGATTACTTAGAATAGTTATCTTTTTATTTGCAGACATTTCTTTACTTTTTATGCCAATTTCTTTTTCTATCTTCTCTGGTGTCGGTTCGAGTTGTTGCTCAAAAGGTTCAATCAGTTGTTGCTCAAAAGGTTCAATCAGTTGTTGCTCAAAAGGTTCAATCAGTTGTTGCTCAAAAGGTTCAATCAGTTGTTGCTTAAAAGGTTCAATCAGTTGTTGCTCAAAAGGTTCAATCAGTTGTTGGCTATTATCCTCTAAACTCGTATCTATTTCCTTAGATTTCACAGTCTCACTAACTTTTTTTAGACTTTTTGTTTGTATTTTCAGTCTTTTTCTCTTCTTTGATCAAATTTTTCTCTTCTTTTACTTTCAACAGATTTTCTTATTCTTTTTGCTTCATATGTAATGCTGCTTTTTGTCAATATAATTGCGTGTGTGTGGCAAAAATATTGACAATATTACATAGTGAAAAAAATATTGACAATATTATTGCGCGTGTGCAAGCCATTAAGCTAATAAATGTGACGGCAACATTACTGATTGCCGATAATGATTGCCCTGGGCAATAACTATAGATATTAACCATGGCAATCACTAAAATTATGGTGGGCAATAACTAAAAATATGCCGAAATACGTACAGCGATTGCCCACTGTTAAAAAACCGTTGAATCTAATCTGATTTCAAATTTTTTCATTAAAAACATAACATAACACTTATGATTTCGTCATAACCATACATGAAATATCAAATAAAATGCAAAAAAAATGAACCTCTAAGCAAGTAATTCCTTAAGAAAATTGCTAAAATGCTTACCTGTTTGAGTAACATGTTCACCTGTCTTGACAAAATCCGCCATTACTGTTTTTTTCTTCAGTGTTGCCACTTGTCAATTTTAAAATCTACTGTAAATTGACCATAGAGTAACTTAGTAAATTATATTCGAAACAAGTGAGAACACAACCTTTTCAGATTTTTTTTCTAAAAACGGGCAATCACTGCCTGTGGGCAATAACTCTCTGGTTTACCCTAAATAATAAGTGATAATAAATAAAAAAAAAGAAAATGTTAGATGAAAAAATACTTGCTTCTAAGAGATAAACTGTGTAGTTTGAACGTTGTGAGTTTGCTAGAAGCAGAGGATTTCAGCTACTACCTCAGAATAAGCTCTGCACAATTTGATCATATATTAAACTAAGTCTCATCTTATATAAAAAAAGATACGCTATTTAGAACTAGTGTAGCCGCTAAACAACGGTAAGCTGTAACCTTAAGATTTTAAAGTGTAGCTCATTGATATCAGAACCCCTACTATCATAAATTATACCAGACACATGCAGGGCTATCTGTAAATGTTTTAAACATTACATAATGGTAAGAAAAATAAATAATATTTAAATAATATTATTTCTTTTTCCTTTTGAGAAGACATTTTTCTCTGTTCGCAAATTTCGTGTCGTTCACTGACGTCTCACATGCACGCTGCGCAACAACCGACCACAGACTTAGTAGGTATAACCGACTGAGCGCTCTGACACCCTAACAGCGATCACATTGCCCGATTAACCGGCCCTAACGCACTAACTAGTGAGATCGGGCGGTCGGACTCACGATCACGATCACCCGAGATCGGGACCCAAACTCTCTAACAGCCATTAGACTTCCCATTTTACAGTGTACCCGATAGACCGTGCCCGATAAATTGGGTAGTGAAATCGGCGCTTTAAAATTCCCCCTTGAGCTACTTCCTTATGTGAAAATCTAGGCCCAAATAATTTATTCTTATATTTTACAAAAAAGCTTCTGCTATGTGAGAAATCAAAAATCCATTTAACAATTTTTTCTGGCAGTCCGATGATCAGTAACTCATTTGCAAGTACATGATGATTTACACGATTAAAAGCACAGGAAATATCAAAAAATACACTAATCAAAACTTGTTTGTTCTTAATGGCACTAAAGATATCAAAATTTAATTGTGATATGCTTTCTCTAGCTGATCGTCCCTTACAGGGAACCAAACGGACTTTCAGGCAATATACCATTGCTTTCTTTGTTGTATTCCAGCGTTGGCGTTGATTAGTTGTTCAAATATTTTTGCCATACAAAATGTGAGGGCAATAGGTTTGTAAGAATTTACTTGAAACTTATCTTTATTAGGCTTTAAGACAGGTATCAAACAATCAATTTTCCAATCAGTTGGAATTGTGTTGGATGCCACAGTATATTATAAACTTTCAATACAATTCTTATAGAACTGTCTGTCATTTTTTTTAGAATTTTGTAAGGAATACCATCAAGTCCGAAAGCAGTGTCACTCCTGGACAGTATAGCAGTTGCAAATTCTTGTAAAGAAAAAGGTGCAGTCAAATAAATCAATTTATTAAGAGAACTAGATCTTTGATTAAATTATAATAGTACATTACGATATAAGTGCGTTATGATGGTTATAACATGCGAGTCGGAATTTCAGCCCGAGCCGAAGGCGAGGGCGTAATTGAGCCGAGCATGTTTATAACCAATACGCACGTATATCGTACGACGTTTTTAACACATTTGCGAGGAAACAGAAAAAAAAAACATTAAATAAACTCAATCTGTGAATGTACACTGTTGCTATCCCGTCATTTTAATAGCGTGCTAGCGCTGCCTAGTGACTGGCGCCGCGCGGCGATTAGTTCGAAATTTGAATAGCAACAGCGCGCGAAATGGCAAATAATAATACTGTTATGGAATTTGTATGGACTATAACTTAACTATTTGCTTTGGTAACACACGCGTTTTTTATGACCCGCTTTACATATTTAAAACCTGTGGAATTACATCAGCTTTACGAGCAAAGGTGTTAAAAAGGAGCTTTTACAGTATCACATGTGTGTTTCTCCAAAAATTAGGGACCCAATTATCAATATGACTAGGAGGTGACGTAAGGGTTTTCTTAAACCTTTTCGTAATAGTCCAAATTCTTGAAAGTGCTGGACCTCTGGGCATTCCACTGTACAACATTCAAAGCATCCATAAGGGGCACAAACTAAATCTTGTTATTTTTTATTGTTTCTATAAGTACTTCTTTTATGTTTTGGGTAGATTTGTCATTGTTTTTATTAAAGCTTATTAATTTTACAACTGATTCTACTATAATGTTAAGCATAATATCAGAATTTAATTTACTGCTGACATCAGGGTGAGTGATTTTATCTTTAATTAGGGGAGGGAAATACTTTTCATTAATAGTAGCAACATTTGCATATGTTCTAGTCTGAAATTTATTTCTGTTTTCTTCTATTTTTTGTTTTTTACTTGGCCATTCTATTGAGATAGCTATATGATTACCTTTACAGATACCACACATAGCATCATAAGAGTACTTATGACATTCCTTATAATTGTGAGATTCACTGCATATAGAACATCGAGTCGAGTTTTTACAAAATTTTGCAAATATGTCCATACCTTAAACATTTTAGACATTAACTGGTTGTATATATGGCCTTACTTCGAATCTCCAGCTATTCAGGTCCAGGCTGCCAGTAGAGGTTAGGTAGGAAAAAGTAATTGATACCGTCTTTGTTGGCTGCAATAACATATGTCCATTGGTATTAGTTTTTCTCATAAAACGTCTGATCCTTATATTTTTAGTAGAAGTAAGAGTCGAGTAAACTTGTGGTAGTTGGTAGCATTATAACTCCTGTGACTTCAGTTGCGGCGGCTGGGATACTAGCTTTAAGTTAGTTTGCTTTTAAGAAGCTACTATTGTTTAAAGCTGCATTGGCAAGCCCCTGGAGGCCGATTGCGATAAGGCCTTTCAAAAATGACACCAATCTTGTATTTGTTCTTTCTTTAGTTGTTTAATACCTTTATTATGTTTTTTAGTAAGTTTGCAAGGATCATCATGTCCCTGGTCCCGAGCGGCACATCAGGTTCAGTACTCTCCAGGAACACAATATACTCAAAATACATATAGTCTTCAGGATACTGTCTTACATATTACTTATCGGGCTGAAATTTGGCATGCAGGTAGATGTTATGACGTAGGCATCCGCTTAGAAAGGATTTTGATCAATTCTATCCCCAAGGGGATAAAATAGGGGATGAAGGTTTGTATGAAACTTTGTCAATTTTAAACCGATCGGGCTCAGACTTTGCATGCATAATGCTACTATGGCGTAGGCACCCCCTAAGAAAGAATTTTGATAAATGAAACTTTATTTCAGGTATTTCACACGATATAATGAATAAATATTCGTTAGAAATGCTGCTTAAAGTAACGTTACCACGCGGACGAAGTCGCGGGCGAAAGCTAGCAGTATTATAGTAGTATTATAATTCGTCCATGGGACAGGCGAAGGAACTAAGCCATACAGCCAAATCTTGGGTGCAAAAGCTAGTATAATATGAAAACGTGTTGTTTTATTTAATTGGAACAAATAATTTGAAAAAGGCGCCTATACTTTTCAAAGTTTCCCGCGCGAATCTCCCAGGAGACCCGTTTTTTGACACATGTCACTATTAATGACTTTTCTTTTTCTTCTTTTACTAATGGCTTATCTGCGCATTTCGCACTATTCTGCCAATGTCAAGTGAATACATTTCTACATGTAAAATGAAAATGAAATGAACTAAATAAATAAAATAATCAACTCATATTCTATTTGTACTTTTTCGTATTTATATATTTTTTAATCGGTCAACAAATATCGGTGAACATGTATAAAAAAAACATACATCTCCTTAACCAAACATATAAACTCCTTCTTTTGGATTTCGAAGTCGGTTGAAAGGAATTGGTTATATGTTCTACGACATTTTTTTCCCCTTAATCTTGTTAGATCGATTGAAACTCGCAATATTGTAGTAGAAAATTTATTATTACGATGTAAAATATCCACATAAAGCAGATTCTTCGGAAATGCACAAGAGATTCAAAAATATATATTAACATTTGCTCCCGTCTTCGGTTGTAATATCGTATAACTATTTACATGTTTTATTAAATGGGAAACACTTAAAAATCACATTCTTAGAAATGCATTTATAAATTGAACAATTTTCATGTATACATATTTCGATTAAATTATATTATTTTGTTAAGAGGTAAAAATGGACGCAAGTTTTTATTGCAAATTCAATTTTATAAGTCATTAGTCTGTTCTGGGTCCGCTAAATTTAACTTAAGCAACTTGACATCTTAATTATAACTAATTAAAGTAATAAGACATTCAATATAACAATGATAAATCGCAAAAATAATATAATTATTTAAAAACTAAATGGTATGGTTGATTCGTGGTTTATTATCATAATGGATCAACAATAAATAGTATTATTATTTTGCAGATTATTATAACAGAATATTACAATTTCAAAACTATAAAAGATATATTATGGCAGACTGATCCATCGGGAACCTTAACAGAGGCGTCAACAGAAAACAATTGCAGCGGTCAAAACGGGATGGCGCTATACACGCATATAGAGCTATCTCCCTCTAACAACAACGATTGCATCGCATTGGAGCCAATGATAATTCCCCAAAAAGGCACACTCATATAATTATGTATATACACAAACCATTCACATTCGTATAGCAGAAATTTTCGTTACTATTTAATATAAATGTATATTAGGTGTCATATATCGTATATAAATATATTTTTTTATCTGTATCGTTCGATAATGTGCTTGTAAATAACGTTTGGTGGGTGAATGATGGTCATCATTTCAAATTTGAACACGTAATAGTCGATTATTTTATATTTTAATTATACATAAATTTATGACGAATAATAACACGTTCATCTCGTTCGAATGTTATCCTGGCGGCACAGCTTATACATATCTGTAATAAAAATGTCATATGAGTGTCATTGTAAAGTGCATATTAAAAATCATGAATGAATCAAAATGAACACTGGTACCGTGAAGAAAATTATTCACAATAAAGGTAATGATTTTGAAAGGAAAGCTGCAAACCATTTAAAAAAAATAAGCTATATTTACATGCAAGTTAGTAAGGAGGTTTAGTGTGGTGATTTTAAGTACTTACATCGTGCAAACCAAAACCGTATACACTAATCACTAATTAAGTTTGTTTAGTAAAAAACACTATCGAGAAAGGTAAAAAAACGGTATGCAATTTCGTAATTTGTAATTCGCTATACCGAAACCTATACGAATAATTCACAGATTAGACTCGGAAATTTCTATAAAGCAAACTTATTTAGTGAATATTGTAGTATAAAAGGTGCTAGTATTTTTATGTTTTACCAAATTCAATAAAATAACGAAATCTGTTATACACCATCTTTATTGAATACAAATATTAATCATAACGACATATACACTAACGGACAAATTTTATGATAAAAAAATGTAATATGGTGCCTTGTACCTTGAGATGAGCTTGGTAATCGGTTTGGCACTTTAATCTTTTAGAATTATAATTTAAACAATTATAAAATAAGGCTTACACATATTGTGCATTATGTTAACAACTATTAAAGTATAAAATCATCAAAACACATTTAAAATACAGACATAGTATGGCCTGTTGTAGCACTTACACATTTAAATTACGAGAATTTATATAATTTCTCTAACACCCATTTATTAGTCATTAGATTTTCAGTATCACATTATTATTGTAAGGTTTACATACAAAAATAGCATTGTGTAATATTTATTCCAAAAGGTTAATTTTATAAGACAATGTTAAAAGAGATTCATTGTTAATATCAACATCATAACATAAACCGTATTATTATAAAATGATGACTCACTTTAGTACCAGTTTTAAACTATTCTGAGCGATTTTTATTGAACAGGGCGCCAATTCTGCTAAATAAATTTTGTTTAAATCGAATCGAAAACTGATCGAAACCACAGTTTTTAATGATTTTTCTATTCCACTAAGTGACATACGATACAATTCCAGCTAAAATAGAACTAGAATTGTATCGTATGTCACTTTGTAGAATAGGAAAACCATTAAAAACTGTAGTTTCGTTCGGTTTCGATCCGTTTTCGATTCGATTTAAACAAAATTTATTTAGTAGAATTGGTCCCCAGGTTTAACGTCTCATTTTTGGTTTCCCTTCTTTGATTGTCAAGTTGCTTTAATCAGCCATTGCAAAGACAATCGACTATGACAGAAGAGAAAACTTAAAATTGAGAAATGTAGACTTATTTTGGTCGGGTAATAGTTTAAATCGGATTGGTAAGGGTAATATTTACGTTAACACGTTCACTAGTAAGCGCGTTATGAATTTGTATGGAGATTTTTAGTTTTTGGTAGTTACCGCCAGGGGCGATCTATCGGATTCCATACTGAAATCTTAACGAGCTCACCTTCGACGGTGAATGTTAACGTCAAAAACTTACAAGCGCTCTGATACTAAAGTTCGGTCTCGTTTTATAATAAGACTAATGGAGTCTATATTTAATGATTTACTTTTATTTACGAACTGTTATGAGATGAGGCACTATAAATTAGTTCGTTTTCTCGTTAAATATAGAGATTAGTACCGTTAAATATTCAAAACATAGAAAGATAAAGCTATTTATATAACTAAAATATATCGAGATTATTAGACTATATCAATTTCGCGTTTATCATATTATTCGAATTTATTAAGATTTTTAAACAATAATTAGACGAGGCGTGCATTGAAGCATTTAAAAGAAGTTTTGTTAACCATAATGTATGAACATGTCATTGTAAACAAAGTCAGTTTACAATCTGTTTTATTGTTATGATTATAATTCCAGTAACATTATAAACTGACGATGCTTACAATTTTACGATGAGATATTTATAAACAGGTTTTTTTTAAATGTAATTTAACAGTACACAATTTCTAATAATGGTTTCACTACCATAATTTATAGATACTAAGTTTTTCTCTTTTTATAGAAAATTGTGCACTTATTAATAAATAACCCTGTTATAATTTATAAAAATGTTACTTTTTGATTGCAGAATACATGCCCCGCCTACTATGGAGACTAGGGTTGCCAAATCAAGTATTTTTCTTTTGTGTCGTAGTAATAATTTGTAAATCAATTTAAAAAAAAAGTAGAGCAATGCAAAATACTTATATATTATATAATTAATTGAGGTCTAAAGTGAGCTAATTGTAATTGAGAGCCAATAAACTATCAACGCGTTCTTAATTCACCGAATTTTTTTATTTTACTAATGCTGTAACTCCTACACCATGGGTTGCGATAAAAAAAAGTTGGGCTTACACGGGTGATACTATCATCATTATCAACATTTATTTTATATACATTTTTCATTAAAACAACTAAAACTAGCCCAATATTGGAAAGAAAGATTGGTTAAGTGTAATAATAAAAATGCGTAATTAGATATAAATCCAATTAGGTACGGTTTGTATTACGTACGTGAGAATAAAAATCCTGCAGTAAGGACCAAGCCCTTACTAGTTTTATTTAATATTTGTGTTAAGGCATAATAAATTTCAATTAAACTTTCAAAATATGAAATTATTGTTGTTCAAATTAGGGCTTTTATTATACAACAAATTATCTTATAATACCTGAAGGATATTTTGTGAAGTTGGCAACCCCTGTCTAAATAGATAATGTAAAAAATACGCTCACTACAAACCGAATATGTACTTTTTATTACATTTCCCTCATTTACTACGCCATTATCCATAAAACAAGTTATACAGTAACGACAGTTATGTTATTAATTTTTACCCCATGTTTTTAATTACCACTATACATCAAAATGTTATAAAGCGTTAGTATATTTTATTTATATAATCACAAGCAGTCACCAATTTTATTTTTAAGCCATAGGACAAAATTTCACGTAAACTATGATAAAATCATAAATGTCAAATGCAATTGTTAAGTGAAATTTGTCATAACAAGTACAACATTTAAAGCATTTTATTGATTAATTATATTCGAACACACAGTAAAATATGAAGTTCCATTATTGAAATAAAAAAAAATCGTAAAATATTTTTTCAGATAAAACACTAAAGTTATAATGAATAAATGGAACTTCAAATGGCCATATTACAGAATAACTTGTACTTACCAAACAGTATTTATACGGGGCACCTGTCACTAGAATTTAATAACATCAATAAGACTGAATATTTAATAATTAGGTTTTTTATGTTTAAATTAGTGTTAGGTGCCCCATACATGTATACCAAAGTTTAAGAAGCATGTTCCAAATTACACTTGCTCATGAAATAATGCAAATAAATAATTCTAGTCAAGTTACTTTCCATTAAAATACAAATGTAATTTGAACACAACGCGCGTACCCAATAACAACTTCCAAACATGCAGTGAGCAAACTCACTAGTTAGTAAATAAAAGTACCAAAAAAAATTGTGTTCATAGGTACCAGTTTTAATGTACAAAATATTAGTAGTGTGACCTTCTGTCCATGTTTCTTATGGAATTGGCCAGGCACAGCGCAAATAGGGCTCCGACCACCTGCAGAATAAAAATAAAATTTGATTAATTTATTGGGTTTTTATTAAAGGCGACATGATTTTACCCATACAGCCAAATCTAGGCATAATCTTTGGATAAATTTCTTCTGATTTAACTAAAACGTTAATGTTTCATAAACCTTTTTTTTAGTATATTGGTGTGTCAGTGAGATAGCTACACGGACATGACCCCTTAAAACTTGTGTTTTTTTTTCTACTATACTTCAATTTCCATCAGTTTTCTAAATCTACCTAATCAACAGTTTTTATTTAATTATAATGTACTAAATATCAATATTTATCTTATAAATACTTTCAATTTACCAGTCCCAGAAATGGGATTCGAATCCACAGGCTTCCGCAATTGTGACATTATATAAAGCATTAATCTAAACTAAAATTTAAACAAGTAAAGTTTCAAACTTTATATTTTTGTTGTGTGTTATCTTCGGACGTACTGATCAGATTATAAAAATTCTTTCACCTATGGAAAGCTACATTATACGCGGTCACTATATGCTATAATTTACGCGCGCGAAGTCGCTGAAAAACAGCTAGTCAGATAAAAACGTAATTACAGACTTCTAAAACTTAGAATGTGAAATAACAAAGCTCAATACCTCAATACAGGCGACGCCGATAGCAACGCCGGCAATTGGTTTGTTCCAGTTCTCGTAAAGCTCTCCGATCCGTTTCCTGCAGCCAGGGTTGGCGGTGGCGACGGTACAACCGACCACCTGTGACCCGAACGCGTCGTAGTTGCAACAGCTCTTGTCCAACACTGCGCTGTAGTAGTCTCCGGGGCCGTTGTTACCGCAGCATTGCAACTGGAAATAAGAAAAGGTTATGTTTTTAAATTTGAATATTTTTAAAATGGAAAAATATTGTTTAAAATATTGTTCAGTTCCACGATTTCTTATACTTCGACAAGCACGAAAAAATATTGAGACGTATCAAACAAACGTGTTAATTTGTTATTTTCTAAAAAGTAGAATCAGTTTTTAATTTAGACGAATAATGATATTAGGAAACTAAAATCATTTCGGTAATTAGAACAATAACACTCAATAAAACAAATCACATAGGAAAAACAAAACATACCTACCTAACAAGTCAACGGCTAAGCTCGAGATATTAACTATTTGGTGACCCATCCGATATATAGCCTTTGCGACAGTCGCTAAACACAAAGTTCTAATAACTATAAATTACCTGAGCCTGAATGTTGTTGAAGACCTCGCTTGCGGTTCCGTCACTGGCGCGCTTGTTCCACAGTCCATCTACACCCTTCTCCAAGCCGGTCTTGATGGTGTCCCCATATACGAACAACAGCACGGCCAGGATCACTTGCATTATGATTATCACCAATAAGAAGATGGCATACTGTTGGACAAAACAAAGAATACGATTGAAATATATACTGAAGTTTCATCATCAGGCCTTTTACGTTCCCACTGCAGGGGCTTAGGCTTTTCTTATGGATGGTTAAGGAGGATGGCTGAAACGATGCCCCTTCACGATGCGGATTGGAGGGTGGTGCTGGGGTCTTCAGCATATTTTTACGTAGGTAAATTCCAATTTTTAATTTTAAAATTAAGGGGGGGGGGGAGCTGCTCTCACATTTACTTCTTTGGAAGTGATGATGCAATAGAAAAAAGGTTCGCCTATTAACGGTTGTTGTATTAACTGTTGACTTTTGTAATGGCATATTTTTATTGGTCGGTAGTGCGAGTGATTCCTGCGGGGCTCATATCACTGGACCGATAAACTCTTTCAGTTTCAGTCAAACACTAATGCAAGTAAGAACAAACGCCGCACTCCGCATGCGGGCCCAATCGACCAATGTAAATAAGCTTGCACTAGTCGATAAACCTTGGAACTCTTATAAATTCGTCAACGTCATGGCTGTCTGTCTGTGCGTCCGCTAGTATGTCACAGCCACTTTATTCCGAAACTATTAGCATAGATAATAGCTAGTAGGTACCTATTTTGGTCTGTTTTGTTTTAAAAAATTATAAAAGCATTGGATTTTTCCGAATCTACTTTAATCTACTCTAATGACAAAACAAATTAGAAGGAAATACAAAATATTACAATAATTGACTTCTAATTCAACTTCATTTTTTTACATATGGTGATTGAATAAAAACGTTATAGATTAGATTAGATTCTTATAAAGGCCTTAATATAAATTACTTACGGTGACAACCATGCAGTGACTCTCCCGAATCGCTCCGCAGCAGCCGAAGAAAGCGATCACGAACATGATGGCACCGATGATGATGAACACCCATGGTGCGACGGTCAGGTGTGCCTGTAGCTCATCCTTCACTGTCCTCCAGTTGACGAGGAATGCGACACCAATCCCCACCACTGCGAGGCCCAATAACTGTTAACAAAAAAATATATATTTAAGACTATTACCACCAACTTGAAACTGTAACTATTTTATTTCTCGAAAGTATTTCTTTTTTTAGTGCCGTAGAAAAGCAATTTATGCTCATATAATAATAAGTTATATAAGAGTATAAATTACAATATATAGGTATATATATTCATATAAAAATTTGACTACAAACTACATATGAAAAAGTGCGATGACAAAAACCAATGGGTTTATTAATTATAGTCCCCGAAAATTGTAATGCGCCTGGCCGCCATTTTGGTGACGTAATTGCGTTCAACTATCGTACCGATAACAAATAAACCTGGTTGACGAGTACACTTGGGTTGACGAGTTGGGTTGTGTTGAGATCACACACAATTTTTGTTATCTATTTGTTGTTTTTGTTATTGTTAAGCTTTGTTGTTACTTGTTATGGTTGACTAAAATAGCAATGTGCTAATATGATTCTCTCATTTCATTATTACTTTTGGCTATGGTTTCAAAAATGTCCTTTCGGTGTGTTTTCGTATTATTACAAAGTAAATGTATCTTTTAATGCTTTTTTATTCTCCAATATTAACATATAAATTAGCCTTTTCCAAAAATTTATGCAATAAAATTTTAATATTAATTTGGAATCTCCAATACTTATTTGGAACTTAATACGTATTACAATAATTAATAAATAAATTATCTCTTTGATTTTTTTGCTATCCATACTTACTATTTTTAAAAACCGTCACGCGGCTGTTAGACAAGGTCCTAGCGCATTAGCAATTTACGGGACCTATTATAAATTTATATAACACACACACTCAGGTGGTATTAATTTAGCATGCAAAACTAGTGGTTATCATGAAAATCATTATAGAAAGAAACTATAGGTACTAACTTAACTAGTTGACTGCATTAGAAACAAAGTTTTTATAAATGTATGTACTAAATGCGATTTTCATTTATATTGTTGTATAGTTCTTTCATTAATGGAATATTACTGAGTGACATATGCTAATATTTTATCTCAACTTTCCAAGCTTTAGCAAACACTGATTGGATCAAGAAAATTCTCTTATCATATGCGCCTGATATAGGCTGTAAATTACGCGGAAGTCGCGGAAAAACAGCTAGTGTTAGTGTAAAAATAAACAACAACTACTTACATTACAAAGTTAATATAAAATAACAATCCATATACATTCGCTAGAAAAGTTCTATTCCTTTCGAAACTTAATAGCATCTGTCATAAAAATGTAATAAACAAGTTCTAACAAGACGCCTTGTAATAACCTCGAAAATTGCACTAACTATAGAATTCCAAGTTAATTAAAATAACTCAATCAACCGCAAAATTAATAGATCAACTACGATAAATAGGTTTTAAATGCGTAAACTATTTGAATAACATTATTACGTTGGAGTGTAGCAGGTTTTATTTATGATTTACTAATTAACAGCTATTTACCATGTCATTGTACTACATTAACATAGTTTAAAAAAAAATATCCATTAAGAACTGACGAGAAAGTATGAAGGAAGGGAAAGATTCCTAAAATAAGGTAGGTACCCCTGAAGTATCTTCTACTTAGCAAAACTCAGACCTCGGCTGAATCCGTCCAGCTGTCCAACATGAATTAATAATAAATAAATGCTATATTAAATAGTAGCTGTTTTCCGGCGTCTTTGTTCGGGTAAATTATAATATATGTCATCCGCATATTATGAAACTTCCCGTAGCTGAAAGAATTATTGAAATCGGCTTATTCACATACAAAAAAAAAACAATAATTAACTTCCTCTTTATATATCAATATAGATTTAATAAATGAAATATCAAGGTACTATTAGAACAATCTAATAGTTTAAAAAAAAAATACTTTTAACATACAAGCGTTCCAAAACAAAGGCACAGTGTAAATATAAGTTCCGTATTCACCCTATTAGTATTCTGAACTCAACCCATAACATTTGATGGAAGTTTTAAGTTGATAAGAATAAAATCCAATCTAATTTCGCAATGCAATTTATGTCATGTTTACTTACTACCTGAGTTACACCACACATTCATGTGAAAGTAGCACCATATAACGGTCCGATTGATTACAAACACCAGAATGTGGTTTGTTCAAAATCATCGTTGCATAAGACAGACAGACAGACACATGGCCCGGTTGGGTGGAGCAACGAGGTCGAATAACTAATGAACGTCTGACAATTTGCTGTTATATGATAAATATCCTATTGCTTATACGTATTACGAACCTTTTCATGGTAAAGACCTAAAAGAATCTTTGAAATATAAAAGTAATACTTAAATTAATATTTAATGAGTAATGACATATCAAATTACCTGGTTATTTAATGAGGTTTCATTGCGTAAGGAATAAAGAAAGGCAGTCGTACTAATTACAGTCGTTTAAATTGATTTCTCAACAAATAATTAGTCGCTCATAAAGTTTTCGCTGGTAAAATATGTATAAAAAACCAAACGACTCAAACTCGATCCGTCTGTGTCAACCATTATCCGACCAAAATAAGTAAACGCTTCTCCATTTGACGTTTTCTCTTCTGTCATTGTCAATTTGCTTATGGCGGTTAATGGTTAAGAAAGTAGGTAGGTACTAGATCGCCATCTTTCATTCATTAACATGTAGAAATTTATTCACTTGATATTGGCAGAATTGTGTAAAATGCGCAGATAAGAGATAGGTTCTTAATTTGGTCCCCATTTTATAATAACACGGGTCGAGATTAATTTCAATGAATCGCAAACCGGTAAGGTGGTTTTAGCTTGCAAGATTTGATATGCACTAGCTTAAAGAGCAATTTAAATAAATAGTTCTTCAATAAGTCGAATTTTTATTAAAGTTTATCATTAAATAAACATCTGTGACATCCCATTAAATAAAGATATTCCATAGGCTTACTGACATTTCCCACATCAATCAATATTAAATATCGCGTTATAAATTTCTTAAAAATACATTTAAATCTTCATGCTCATTTGTTCTTTTAAAAATGAAGTCGAGTCAAGGCCAAAGCAATTTGTTTAGCAGCCGATGGAACGGAACTATTATGTCATCTCATCACAGAACAGCTAAAACTAGCGATTTTATATCTAAGATACTTTGGAATACAGATAGCATTATAATAAATAGATTCGTCGGAGTTCTATCAAGGTTAAACTGTCTACATTTAACGCTTTGTTCCCACAACAGTAGCTTATACTCTAGTGGGTGGGTTATTAACCATTAAAATAATAACGTGTCGTTCTACTGTAAGTACTAGATAACTGATTCAGTGTGCAAACATCATGAAGTAGGTACCTTGGTATTGTTTGCTAAATAATTTCGTTACAAAATGATATCGGATAAAATACTAAAATAATGAGCTTATAGTCTGTTGCATAATCGCCCATTATGGATTAATGACGCCTTTAAGCTCTAATGAATGTCAAATGTGTATGATCATAGGCTATATTTGACTATAATTTACACGGACGAAGTCGCGGGAACAGCTAGTGAAAGAATTCCTCAAATCGGTCCTGTAGTTTCAGAGCCCATTGAATATAAACAACCAAAAATTATAATCATAGCGTAGGTAATGACATAGAACAAAATTTAGATTGATCAAAATACTATTCTGGTATTTCGATGTCACAGATAGATATTTAATCAAATAAAACATACTTCAAGTGCCAATAAAGTTTTTATTTTATTGACGCTCTATGCTGTAACAGCTCTGTGTGCTCCAAGTCGCCGAGTTGGAGGTTGTTTTCTTATTAAAACAGTATAGTATTAGGTATAGCTTCAACTAATTGCAGGTCAGTTAAAAATACAGTTTAGTTTCAAATTCTCTCGATAAGTGGAACGTTTGCATGTAATGTATATTCGGATGTGAAGTAGGTATTATACTTAACATAAAACTCAATTTCAGACACTATGAATCGCGAATAGTTTATGTATACGTTACATATATCATCTGTGATATTGTGTGCCTGTACTTTTATTAGTCACTCAAATAGCATGGTATTTATATACCGATGATCGTACTCTAAACCGGTTTCTAACACTCGCTCTTATTGTTAAACGAGGACTTACTTTAGTACCAGGTTTATAGCATTATCCGACAACAATCAGTCAACAGGTATGAATTTGGCGTTTTCTCTTCTGTCCATAAACAATTTGCTTTAGTTAGCCAATGGTTTATACCAAGGAGACTAACTTTAATTGTCGTTTTATAAAAATCAGCTTACAAAACCGGCTATGTCGTTTTAATGTTCCCTTTTAAAACATCAGAGCTTCCTCGTCATCCCTGATTAGAATAATTAAAGTCAATGGAGGTTAATTAGTTACGGCAACTTGCACCCAAGTTATTACTTTCCATCAATTGTCACTTAGCGTTGCATGAGAGAAGAACGGAAGATTATTCTTAGACGGACGGATGTCGGTAAGGTAAATGCACCACTGCGACCTATTTCTTTTATCACGTAAATAATTATCGGTTTAAAAGTGGCGGAGCGACGTAACTTAAAACAGCCCGTAAACGCTGCCAAGGTAAGAATGATATTTCACATGCGGGTTAGCATAACACTGAATGTTTCTGTATGGTCGGCAAAAAAAAACTAGTGCGAATGACAGAACCCATTTCTAATCCGTAAAAGGTTTTACTATTGATTTCTTATATTTTCACGCGCACTATCCATTAATATTTATGGCTCTATGGTATATGCCGAGAATATAGTAATAATACCACCAGTAATGGTATTTTTAGCAATTTCGATTGCATTCAAGAGACTGATTATTTATATTTAATGAACTTTGTCCCTGGTACTATGAGATGGGTGACTGCTCTAACCACAGAGCTACCCAGGACCTAACAGGACTGACGAATTCTTCAAGCACTTTTTCGCTACTACAAAGTGTATTTTCATCAATCCATCCAAACAGCTGAAAGAAATATTTGTACAAATATTTTTTACTTTCGAAAAAGATGAAAATTCAGTA